GTTGACTTTGGCTTGGTGGTGGCTTCCTCTCGTTTTTATGGAGTAATAAAGAAGAAGTATATGTCAAAGATCATCAACAACTACAGCGCAGAATTGGACTCAAAAGTGATGCGACACATGGAGAGGAGACGATATTGTAGGAGTGGGGCGCGCATCGGCTGTACCTGCTACTTTGGGAGCGTCACCTCCCGGCGCGATACGTGCGCAGCGACGAGGTGTATTTCCACAGATGTCCAGTTCTAGAGTCCGAGTTTCAGGACGTCTGACAAGGGACTCTTCTTTTCCCTGTGCATGATAGCATTGGAAAGCAAGGAGACGACCCATCCGAGGGCGGATTCGCTTTTCCTACTTCAACGCTCATTGGCGGATGCTTCGGGCCAATGATGTCCGGCAGCAAAGTTCTAAAGATGGATGTCTCGAGACAGTAATGGCTTGACACATATCCAGCTCCAATGCAAAGATTATCGCAAGTTTCTCTGCACCTCTCACCAACTCCTCGTGACGGTGCTACTGCGACGAAGTCGAGCTCTACCCCGCCCAACGCCGATCGCGGTGACCCCTCAGCTGCACGAATCAACACCAACATGGCGAAGACCAAGGTCGTGGTAACGCGACAGTTGATTGATGAGGCGCAAAGACTACTCGATGCGAAAAAGGAAGACTTGGAAGTTGTGCAATGGCAATCCGAAAAGGTAGGTCTCTATCACTGGCGAGAAGACGGGTTGCTGACAATATGCATGCAGCCATGTCCGCGCCCGTGGCTTCTCGAGAACGCGAAAGGTGCGACCGGAATCCTAGTCATGCTTACAGACAAAGTCGATGAAGAACTCTTAGAAGCAGCCGGATCTCAACTCAAAGCCATCGCTTCATTCTCCGTCGGTACCGACCATGTCGACCGAAACGCGCTGAAGAAACGCGACGTACGTCTCGGCTACACACCAACATGTCTCACCGACGCCGTAGCAGACCTCACCATCATGCTCATTCTCATGGCCCAAAGAAGAGGTGGAGAGTCGATGACGAAAGTCGCAAAGGGCGAATGGCCTCAGATGCCGTGGCATCCCCTGCTCATGACGGGCCCGCAGATCCGAGGATCTACTATCGGCTTCTTGGGATTCGGAAGGATTGCGCAGGCTTCGTTGCAGAGATTACTGCCGTTCGGCATCAAGAAGGTCATTTATCTCACGTCCAAGCCTGGCAAGCCCGTCAAAGAGGATCACTTTGGCCTCATCAAGAACGCTACCATCCCCATCGAGCCGGCGAACAGCACAGACCAGCTCGCACAAGAAAGCGACGTAGTCGTTGTCGGATGCGCCCTCACGCCCGAAACCAAGCATCTCGTAAGTACAGACTTCTTCTCCAAGATGAAGAAGCTCGCTGTTATCGTCAACATTGCGCGAGGCCCCATCATCGACACTGATGCACTGGTAACGGCGCTGGATCAAGAGCAGATATTTGGTGCTGGCTTGGACGTGATTGAGAATGAGCCCAATATCACAGCTGATCATCCGATTCTGAAACAGCCAAGAGCTGTGCTTGTACCGCATATTGGAAGCGCTACGATTGAGACACGGGTACAGATGGCTACGGAGAGTGTCAAGAATCTGCTCGCGGGGCTGTCAGGGGAGGAAATGGTAAACGAACTGCAGTTGTAGGGACATGTGACTAATATAGAATTACTTCACATCCAGCTTAGATCTGACCACGCTACGTGACGTCCCGTCGACGCATACATTGCATGTCATTCCGATGACTCCACCTCACTTTTAGCAAAGCCCCATTTCCCCCAAGTGTGTTCTCCGTCCAGCGTCATGCGTCCACCTTGTTCCACTCCGTCGTCTACAACCGGAATAGCAAAGCGGCCACGAATCGTTCGAAGAAGTTCCGTCCATCGTATCTCTGCAGCCCGGCGTAGGCAAGTGCAAAGACCAGCCAAATCTCCAGCAGGGCTACGAACACCCAAAGAATAATGGTCACAGGATCCATCTTGACACGGTGAATATGCGCGGTGTTGGTGTGGTAAACTGCCGAGATATGGGTGTGACTGCCGATGTCGAGGTATTGAAAGGTTGATCGAGGGCTGCAAGTGGATATTGATAACCCGTGGACTTTGTGAGGTAGTTGTTGATGTGATCCAAGCTTGACTGTAATTGAAGATTTGTACCTACAGCTGGGTTGATGTGGCGAGAGGAGATAATTCTCAAGGCGCAACGCGGCTGCTTATGGCAGATGCTTTCCCGAGAGTTGTATTGATATTGTGGCCGTGCTACAGAGTACTTTCAGTGAGAGAATTTGCTAGGCAATTCACATCACAGTGAATGCAAGCCGCCACTTCCATGAGCCCTTCACTGTCTCCATTTTCTCACCATCTGACCAATTTAGACAGACAGACAGCGATAGGTTGCCAGCGATTTTGCAAGTGGTATTAAGAGTTGAGGCAACGTGTCGTTCGTAATGTCCACCATACCATCTGAGGACATCGGGAAAGCGTTCAGTATGTTAATAAAGAAAGGCTGGAAGCGATACTCGTCGCGATCATTGATAAAGGTCGTCCTTGTACGGTCTCGATCAACCATTGTCTTGCGAACTCAGAGTACAGGAGCATCTACACGTACTCATTTGCGTTTAAATCGCCAGCATCGCGGGCGGCTCAGCGGAACGCCTTTGACATCCGCCTCCTTTGGAACTTTCTATCTTTAATGACACTGATACATCGCGTAGAGCTCATAGTAACGGGCAACGCATTCGATATATTGGACGCAAGTTTCTAACGAAATGACGGCGGTCGTGGTTGCGTAGGTTTGATGGAACTCACCCCTGCACTAGCCAGTTTGGGTTTGGACGATATCGCCCGCACCCGCGGGCGTGGACGCGTCCCAGCCACCCCACCGACGCGCCCGCGATGTCTTCACGCCCGTTGCTCTTCACATTCGCGCCCATATGTATCAAAACAGCTTGAACCCTCCCGGCACCTGCGTCTGAAAAACACCCGTTGGATCGTACTTCCTCGCCACTTCCCTCATCCTTCCCAACTCAACTCCGCCATGGCTTCCCAGCGGATCCTGAAACGATGCTGCAAAGTTCAGATACTTGTACCGATGGAAAACACCCTCTTCCTTCGTCAGTCCCTCCACTAGCTTTACCAGATCCTTCAAAGCTTCTTCGAATCCATCGGTAGCGGCAACGTCCTCAAATGTGAAGATAATCTGCAAGAATACCAGATCCCTCTCTGGCGTTTCGTCTGGTCCAAAGCCTAAGCTATTGGGCGATGCGCCATTACGAGGGGGTGCAGGAAGAGCCTGGAAGGTTATCTCCGCGACTGGTTTGGCGTAGGCGTACTGTGCTGCAATCTCAGGTACGATCCGCTTCCACAAGGTGTGAATGCGATTAATGATCGTTGGCGAGACGGCGAAAGAGGTCGTTGCCCAGATGGTGCGCTGAGGATTCGCGACTACTTGTCTCGATGCATTCCTAGTATGCTCACTAATGGGAGCTTCAACCATGCCATTGATGACTTGCGGCTTGGTCTCGAAAATCCCCTTAAGTGCCCCAGGCCTTTGCGCTGGCCGTGTGTACCACATGATGCTCACTGGAGTGAACGTCGCTGCCGTATGGTTGTAGCGCACAGTGACCCAGCCCGCTGCATTTGGATCATATTCCCCGAGCTTGAAATTGGTAAATGCAGAAAGCAAAGGCGTGGTGGCGTTGGGCCCAAACACGATTCTTCCACCATAGATGGGACCAGCAGGGAAGGCATCTAAGTCAAAGCGCGAGACTATGCCGAAGTTGAGCTGCCCTCCTTTGAGCGCCGCGAAGAGATCAGAGTGCGATGTAGCGTTGGCATTGACAATCTTCCCGCTTGCGAGTACGACCTCGAAGTTGACGACGCCGTCACATGCCCATCCACGCTCTGGGCTGAAGAAAGATATCCCGCCTGCGCGTTGTTGGTTAGTCTCCTAGTTTCAAAGATTGGTTACAAGAATCCAAGCTTACCTCCAGTCAGGAATCCAGCTGTACCCACGACGCCAATGCGACCTCCAAGTACCGTCAGATCCCGCTTCTCAGCCTCGTCGTAAACGTCCTGCCACAGCGCTCCCGCACCGACCCTCACAACCTGATCTCCTCTCGCGACCTCGACCTTGTTCATGCTCTGCATGTCGATTGTGACGCCATCATCGATGTTATTGAAACCGGCGTTAGCGTTGTGACCACCGCCTTTGATCGCAAACTTGGTGCTGTTGCTCACTCGCAGAATATTGATGGCGATTGCTACATCTTTTGCGGATGTTGGACGGACAATGCACGATGGTCGCAAACGAAGCTGAAGGAATGGATAAGATTGGATAGATGCGTTGTATGTTGATGCTGCGGGGAAGAAGGTGCGGTTGGGCAGTACCAAGGCCAAGTCTTCACACGAATTGCTTGGATAGCTGTACGCAGATGCTGCACCGGACAAGAAAAGAGTAGCGGAATAGAGGTTGAGAAGACGCATGTTGCAGAAGGGCAAGATTGGGATATTTCACTGGCACCACCACACGAGACTCTAGCTCCATTTTAAGCTTTCTCGACACTTCTGGCTCCCAGCATTCCGGCCGGCGCGGGAAACTATCACACCATTCCACGGGCACAGTACATCTGGAGTGCATATACGAAGCTTTATTAGTGGCGTCGTGATCCCGAGCCTTCAGTCAGCCGCAGCCCGTGTGCCTCGATGTGATTGGCGGATGTGGATTTTGGGATCTCAACCGGGTTGCAGAGATGCGGAGTAAGTTTTACACGACAGATGAGATGAGCTGAATTGTTACACAGGTGGGGAGCCGGTCTGGTATCAGTGCAGTGAACCAGCCATGAAGCGAAGGTGGTGTGGAGTCAGAGATTTGATGCATCGTTGCTATACGGGAAGTTCTCTAATCACGGTCTATCCGAGTTACTCCGCGAAGATGCTATGTGGGGTATCATTGTTCAAGTCAACTGCCTAATCAGACCGTCCGCCTCTTCTCCTACTTCTTCAGCTCATCCAGAAAGCCTTGCATCACTCGAACAGCTGCGTCAACAACATTGGTCGTATCTGCCATGTTCATGTTTCCCTTGGGATTGCGCTTCTTCTTCATCACAACGCGGTCGAGATCTCCAAGGAGCGTTGCCACAACCATGAACCCGTCGCTGGTAGGCGACTTCCAGTCCGCCTCTTTGTGTATTTTCTGTCCAGTAGCACTGAATTTGGCTTGTTCCGCATCGATCTTCTCGCAAAGCTCGTTGCATTGCAGTGTCAGACTGATGTAGTCAAATTCCAGGCGGTCCAGAACTTGAGGAAGCTCTTCCGAGTTGCGAAGCTCTTTGATGAATGACAAGATGTTCAGGTCGCCCGAACCCTGCGTCCGCGAAGAGACTTTACTGTGCTTGGCCATCTCCTCATCCATGCGATACCAGGTGCGCACTCCCGTTTCCCTCTGGTGGACATAGTCGCGGAGAATCTTCGTCATCGGAAGCGGTTCTAACTCGCAGGTCTTGTGGGTGCCTTTCCCAAAATCGCGGCGACTGTAAACATCCTTGTCCGTATTCCGAGTTTTCTTGATGAACGTGGTCGAGTACCCGGCTACAAGCAGCAGGCGCGAGTAAAACTCATCAGACTTCGTGGGGATTGCGGTGGAGAAGATCTTCTTCGAATGCCGGTCCATGATGAGCTCAAGCTCCGGCCAGAGCCCGTTGATCCAGCCTCGCTTTTGGAAGCAGTTGTACAAATGGGCTATGGCGAAGATTTGCGGGCTGAGATTGGCAAAGCCGAGTCCCATTTCCTCGCGCAGCAAGAGATGGACTAGGGAGAGCTTCGCTCTCAGAGTCGGAATGGTGTTACGCAAGAATTCGCCGTCCCGTGGTGGAAGAATGTACCGAGCGGCGGCCACTTGGCGCGCAGACTTGTCGCCATGTTTTTCGATGACGTTGCTCACTTCGAGACCCACCGGCCACGGGTAGTCGTCCTGCAAACCGTAGAATAGATGCTCAGGCGCCAACTTCCACATCTTAGCGTACCGGGCATGAGAGAATGGCCGGTCTAAGATCAGACCTCGATGTGTATACCCTGAGTCTGTGACTTGCTGAAGTAGATGTGGGAAGCGGATTCCCCGTTCATGCCAAGATGCGAACTGGGCTTCTTCATCCCTCGCCCGTCGTGACATTGGAATGTAATCCCTCAGCGAACGGTTTTGGTCTTTCGTTCGGATTCTGATCAACAACTCGGCGGCGAATATGAAAACCATTGAGATGAAGCCAAAAGAGCCTAGCGAACCGTATGCTCGGGAAAGAGCGTCTAATGATCCTGCTAGTAGTGGCATCTGGTACTGTTCCTCATGCGACCTTCTGGCTTGCTATACAATGGTAAGTAATCAGTGAGAATATGGGTCAGAATTTTGGTGGACCAAGGAAGACTTACTGGTTCTAGTGCTGCTTCGAACAAGTAGTGTACTAGGAAGTCGTAGTCCTCGTTCGTGTGTCGGTTCGCAACATCATCTTGGATGATCGACCGCGGTGCCAAGAACAAATATTCTCCTGGTTGTGAACGTCGCTCCGCCTCAATCTTTCTGAGCGCTTTCGAGCTCTTGCCGAAGAAGTCGTCGTCATCGAGAGCGGGATCGAATGGCGGCAGCCCTTTCTCATGAGCTTCTTTTACCAAGGTCTCTTCCTTGTGGCGTATGAGATGGAACGCAGCTTCCGTCATGAGAGTAGCTCGGGTCTCATCCAAGTAATCTTCATCGCCATCGACCTTGTGAGTGTCGTTCCAGTCGGACTCCAGCTGCTCGACGATGATGCGCATATCGTCCGCTAGACAAGACTTCCTCAAAGCGATCTCTTCTTTGGCTTTCCTCTCCGTTTCGAGTTCAGCCTCCGCGTCTTGTTTCATCTTCATGTCAAGCTCAAATTTCCGAGCCAGCTCATCCAGCTTGTGACCCTTTGCTTCTCGTTCGGCCTCAGCAGCTGTGATTTCTTCCGGTACAGTCTCCTGACTATCACCAAAAGCCTGCGGTGCGGATCCAGGTACTGGAAGGAGAGATGACGCTGATGTCGGTTCAGTCGCGATGTTAAATCGAAGTTGCGCAGGTGCTGCAGTCTCCGGTCGGCTGACCGCCTGCACTGCGATCTTCTTCTTTAGGATCGTGTGGCAGTGTTTCAACAGCCACAGAAAGTAGATGTGGCCATCGTCCGAAGCCGTCTCCCACAGTTCTTCCTGGGCATAGCGGTCGGCGTAGGCCTGGCGCGTTCTCACAGCCCGCTTGTAGGAGTACCAAACAAACTTGGGCATTGTCGAGGTCTCCTCATGGTCTGCGATATGTTTCGCCAAGTCGAGGATCTTTTCCGTCGAGATAACGTAATTGGTCTTCGACCCGGTCGCTTGGTTGGTCACTTGCTTTGCTTGCTTCCTCGCTTGTCCTTTCAGCCGTCTCGAGGGTTGCTGGGTTTCGGCTGGATCAGCGATGTCGTAGTCCCGCTTCTTCGCAGTGTCAATGAGCCAGAAGATGAAGCGCTTGGTGTCAAGCTTGTACTGCTCGTACGAGCCCGCTGTTGATACCGTCGCCATGAGATGTTGCTTGAGCGGATTGTATATAGGAATTTGCTGGTGTGGGGGAAGAATTTCTGGTATAAAGGTCGTAGTTAAGTCTGTCAGCAACGTATAGAACAGAATGCGGTGAGCTAATGTGGAAATTTGTATTGGTCGCGTGGGAGTTGGCGAGCCAAGCCCTATCTGTAGAAAGGGAAACCCCGCAATGACGAAGGCCAATTTGCTCGAGTAGTGAAACAGGTGGACATCAGCGTTGTATACTGCGTTTGCCTGACGAAGTGCAGAATTACTGGCTAGAAAAGTCTTGAAGAAGGCGCTTTCCGTCGCTTTATACCCTTGAATTGATTGCGAGGTTAGGTCAGGCGCACTGAGCAAACGACACTGCGGAGGCCAGCGCAAGCTCGACAATCAGAATAGGAATTGCTACTAGTCGGGTAATGAAGAAACACTTGTGGAATTGGAACCAAATCGCCGAGAATTGGCTTTGTAGTGATATGAAGGAAGGCCTCCGAAGGCCTGAGCCGAGTATGGGCTCCCCCAAAATTCCAGATATGTTCAACATTTGTTCGTGGGTATGACATCATTGTCGAATTGGAGAGTAAAGCGAAATCTGACCGACGAAGAACAGCGTCATTGCTAGGATAGCGACAGTACTGAACGTGACGGCAACCTTTTGGACGAGTCAGAACATTATGTAGAACGGATATCATACGAACGTACCTTGGTATTATCGTCCCACAGTGTTGGATGGTGCAGATGTGTGGTCGCCGACCAGACATGCAGGAACATTCCAACGACCATGCAGACAGTAGCGGAAGTCAAAAACATCACTGGCATTTGCCATGTGACGATTTGTAGCAAGCTAGGTGTCCGACGTCCAGTCTTGGAGGAGTGGCTCTTCTCGCCATTCGTCTTGGCGATCAGTTTTCGAATATTGGCCAATCCATCGCGATGTGATGAAAGGCGGTGCAGTCGGACGGTCTGATCAGCAGCTGTGAGGATGCTGAAAAGCGACAATATGATACCGCAGTACCACGATGTGCGCACAGACCATGGCGATTCTTTCCCATTTGGTAAGATGTTTGGCCAGCTTCCAGTGGACGTGAGGACGCCAGCTAAGAGGGCGGCCTGTCATGTATTAGCATGTCCGATGCTATCGGGAGCGTTGTCATTGATCGAGGAAGGCCAGTGCAATGGATGGTGCCCGTCCTAGCCATCCATGGATGTCACGATTCGGCGTGAAGCATGCGCCATGTGGAAGGAACGGCGCCGAGTGTATTAACCACGAAAAAAGATGTTCGGAGACTCACCACAACGCCGACAAAGTTGAGCTCACTGAGTTTGTTGTCTCTCCATAGTGTGGTAAGTTCGTCTTTTTCGTCTGCGTCTTCGGTATTGAGCAATATCTCCAGGGGGTCGTAGGTCGTGGAGTCCGGAGCATAGATGCCACCACCAAAGAACTGCAGCACACTCGTGAAGGTCCATCTAGGACCTTCATTTTCCTGTCCTATCCTCTGATGCGCTGATCTCCCTAGGAGTGGGGTGCGCGAGCCGGACGTGCCTCTTTCCTCCGCATCGTTGTCGTACGTCATAGCTCCTGAAGCTCTCGTGGTTTCAGTGTTAGCTGGTCGCTGGTGTTATCGGACCGGATTCGGTGGGGTCCTTGAAGCTTTAAGAACACGAGGGTAACATGGAGTGATGTTGTAGGTACGTGTTGCACGGTAGCATTCATCCGGTTTCTGTGGAGGGTAGGAGGTCGCGTGCCTAGCCGTGCAGCCGCTTGGTGACGTATTTTGGCGCGTGAGCTACGCCAGCCAACGCGATCTTCACAGTATCTACCATATTGCGCGAATAACACTAGGCTGAGATGCACGTTGCTACTGAAAGCACATCTGGAGATGCATCGAAATGGAGAATACCATGGGGAGGTTGGTCTCGCCGTCTGAGTGGCTGGGTGTCGGCACAACGGCTACCCCGCGACATCGGGAGGGTTGACGCGCCCCACGTGGATACCCACGCGTTGAGATGCACTACATCTGTTGGCCATCGCGACTGGCTCGACCCACATACGGCTATGACGTGAACCACTATGTACCGCATCTCGCAATGCTAAAAACAACGAAACTTCACGACACAACGCCTCCATTCATCACGTAGACATCTACAATGGCGCAAAAGAAAGACCTGTATGTTGGAACCGACAAGCACCGCTGGTGGAAAGAAGCGGTGGTATACCAGGTATGAACGACCCACCATCATGTCGATGCAGACATTGACACCGATACCAGATCTACCCTGCTTCGTTTCTAGACAGCAATGGTGATGGCTGGGGTGACGTCCCTGGCATCACCCAAAAGCTTGACTACCTGAAAGACCTTGGTGTCGACGTGATATGGCTTTCGCCGATTTACAAGAGCCCACAAGGTAACTTCTACGTGCGCAGGATGTATGTGAACCAGATGCTGACTTTTTGTAGCGGACATGGGGTACGACATTGCAGACTACGAGGACATCGATCCCAGCTATGGCACCTTAGCCGATGTTGACAACCTCATTAAAGAAGTAAAAAAGCGCGACATGAAACTCGTCATGGACCTTGTCGTCAACCATACATCGGAAGAGCATGCATGGTTTCTGGACTCACGTTCATCAAAGGAGTCTTCGAAACGTGACTGGTATATTTGGAAGCCCGCAAAGTACGATGCTGAAGGAAATCGCGTACCTCCGAACAACTGGGCGCAGATTCTGGGAGAGGCAAACTCCGCGTGGACTTGGGATGAGAAGACCCAGGAGTACTACCTATCGCTCTTTACGCCTGAACAGCCGGATCTCAATTGGGAAAACCCCGATGTGCGCGCAGCCGTACATGATATTCTGCGCTTTTGGCTCGACAGGGGTGTCTCTGGATTCCGCATGGATGTCATCAACATGATATCGAAGGTTCAGACGTTCCCGGATGCGGCCATCTCGGTCAAAGACAACAAGTACCAGCCTGGTGACAAGTACTACGCCAACGGCCCAAGACTACACGAGTGGTTGAAGGAACTTCGGCGCGACGTGCTTTCAAAATACGATACGCTCACCGTTGGAGAAATGCCATTCGTTCGCGATGACGACGAAGTCATCAAAGTCGTCGGTGCCGAAAACGAAGAGCTGAACATGATCTTCGTCTTCGACTTGGTTGACATCGACAATGTACCGGGAGATTTCAAGTACACCCTACAGCCATGGGATGCGCGGGATCTGAAGAAGATCGTAAACAGGCTGCAGCGCCTTATGCTCGAGCGCGACGGCTGGAACTCGCTCTACGTGGAAAACCATGACCAGCCCCGGAGTGTAAGCAGGTTTACCGATGACAGCGACCAGTGGCGCGAGTACGGCGCGAAACTGCTGTGCTTGATGCAGACTACCCTCGCCGGAACGTTATACGTATACCAAGGTGAAGAGATTGGCATGCGCAACGTGCCCAAAGAGTGGAAACCCGAGGAGTACAAGGACATTGAAAGCATAAACTTCTTCAAGAAATACCGCGATCTCTACCCCGGCAATGCTGAAAAGCAGGCCTTAGCAGCTAAGATCATGGTAAGCCCAGCGTGTATGATAGGAAATAAGACATAAGCTGACTACTTATTCTTAATCATACAGCAACGCAAAGCTCGCGACAGCGCCAGAACACCCATGCAATGGGACTCATCCACGCAAGCCGGGTTCACCAGCGGAAAACCCTGGATGCGCGTCAACGACGACTATCCCAGCATCAACGCCGCAGCTCAACTCGCAAACCCCGAACCTTCGCCCGGTATGCTCTCCGTGCGCGCATTCTGGAAGCGCGGTCTCGAGTGTCGCAAGGAGAACAAAGACGTCTTCGTGTATGGTGATTTCGAAATGCTCGATATGGAAGATCAGAAGGTCGTTGCGTATCGGCGGTGGAGTGAGAAGAATGCGTTTATTACTGTGCTGAACTTTAGTGGAGAGCAGATGGTGTGGGAGAAGATGGGTGATCTGAAAGTGAAGAAGTGGGTTGCGGGCAACTATGACGAGAGGCAGTTGGATGAGAAGGCGAAGAGTGGGAAGCTGGAGTTGAGGCCTTGGGAGGCTGTGCTGGGTATGTTGGAGTAAAACCCGACTCAGTTGCAACGATGGGAAGCACTATGTTGTTTGTGAGTCCTTTGTATAACCGCAGCCACGGCATTTTACCGCCAGTTTGCTTGTTATGAGAGCCACCCATAGAAGTGATGCATCATTGTCGAGGAAATTATAAAGAATCAAAATGGAAGTACAAAGAAGTAAAGGTTTTAAGTAAAGTGATGAATTAAAAGTCATATCTCGAATCCTAACGTTCGTCCAATCCAGAGTCTAATGTACAAGAAGCATGCGAGATGCTTCAGCTACAACCGCTTAGTAGTGGGAGCCAGAGCCGGAGCCAGATCCAGAGCCGGAAGCACCACCTCCAACAGAGCCAGAGGCACCGCCGGAAGCACCACCTCCAACTGATCCAGAGCCACCAGCACCGGCACCGGCACCACCGCCAACAGAGCCGGAAGCCCCGCCACCAACAGAGCCGCCAACACCGGCACCAGCGTTACCACCAGCACCGGCACCGACACCAGCACCGCCGTGGACACCGCCTCCAACAGAGCCGCCAACACCGGCACCAGCACCACCGTGAGCACCGCCGCCGACGCCAGCACCAACACCGGCACCACCGTGAGCACCGCCACCGATACCAGCACCAACACCGCCGTTGGCACCACCGCCGACGGAACCGCCAACACCAGCACCACCACCGACTGAGCCACCGACACCAGCACCAGCACCTCCGTTAGCGCCACCTCCGACAGAGCCGGAAGCACCACCTCCAACAGAGCCACCGACACCAGCACCAGCGCCGCCGTTGGCACCACCTCCAACGGAGCCGCCTACACCGGCACCACCACCGACGGATCCAGATGCACCACCGCCGACTCCAGCACCAACACCGCCGTTGGCACCACCGCCGACAGAGCCGTTTGCTCCACCACCGACTGAGCCACCGACGCCGGCACCAGCTCCTCCTCCAACGCCAGCACCAGCACCGCCGTGAGCACCGCCGCCAACGGAGCCACCGACACCAGCACCAGCTCCTCCTCCTACACCGGCACCAGCACCTCCGTGAGCGCCGCCGTTGGCACCTCCGTGAGCACCACCGCCGATTCCGCCCATGAGGCCGCCGAGGCCACCGAGTCCGCCCTTGCCAGCGCCGCCAAGTCCGCCCATGAGGCCACCGAAGCCGCCGAGTCCGCCCTTGCCACCAGCAGCACCTCCAGCACCAGCAGCGCCGCCAATGCCGGGGATGGCAAGGCCACCACCGATGCCAGGGAGCTTGCCACCAGCAGAGCCACCGAGGCCAGGGAGCTTGCCGCCGCCGGGCATGAAGCCACCGATCATGCCACCGAGGCCGCCCTTGCCTCCAGAAGAGCCACCGAGTCCAGGGAGACCGGCACCGATGCCGCCGCCGTAGCTGGGCTTGCCACCGCTGCCGCTGCTGGGAGTCTCATCGGAAGCACCAGAGTCGTAGCTGGGGCCTGAGCTGGAGCCAGATCCGTAGCTGGGAGAAGTTCCAGTGGTGATGGGAGCAGCTGGGGTGGTGCCAGAGCCGGAGCCGTAGTTGGTAGGGAGAGCAGTAGCGATGCTAGCGATGGCAAGAACCTGAGCGATTTGGAACTTCATGTTTGCTGTTGTAGATTGATTGATATGTTTGACGAAAAGTCGAGTATTGGACGATTGACGATATGAGATCGAGTAAAAATGTGATAGAAGTGAAGTGCTCTGCACAAACGATAGTAAGGACTAATAAAGTCGAGTATAGAGTAGTAACGAAAGTGTTGTTGGTTGCTGAAAGCGAAAGTGTGAAGTAGATGAGATCAAAGCTGATGCCTTTTTACTTTTGGCGCTGGGAACATGAGGTCTTATACTCGAGGGTTCTGAGTCGCATGGTAGACCTCTCGTAGGTAGTAGACAGCCGTAGTCAGTGACCAGAGTGGCCCCTGAGCATGATGGTGGCGAGCCTCACAGTAGCTTCGTTTCGAAACATAGTGACTCTATTGAAAGAGTGATGAAGGGTTGTCTAGATTGTCGGTTTCACGCTATCTGCTGCGGGATCGACGGCAGGTAGACGGGAGATGCCTGAGCTGCGCAGGGTAGAGAGAGGGTAAAGCAGGTTAGAGTTGCGGGAGATGCCCCGATGTGCGCAGGGAGGGAAGGTTAGCCTGTCTTCTCCGCACCGTGCGAATGTGCAGCCTTGCGGCCTTGAAACTAAAGTGGGTTGAGCTCGGGTCGTTCGAGGGGAAAATAGTAGCATTAGCGCATCCTTTATTCGTGATGTCGTCGAGTCGCACACCGATGTGGGTGGTAGCGCAAGCAGGAGTTCGTGAGGTCGGCTATCTTGGCTGCAGTTAGGTGGTGGAATCCGCCGTTCCAGGAGTGCCGCTAGGCTTGTTTCAGCCACCACCAGCACCATCGCGACTGACATCCGTCATCCTCCGCCTCTCCCAACAGAGATTCTCATCAGCAGCTGCGATAACGAAGAGATGTCGCATCGAAAATAGCTACACAATGCTTACCTCTGTCCAGGTACACCGCGGCAGCCGGCTAAATCGATCCGGCCTGTGCGTCATAGAGTTTGAAGTGGTACCTGAGCTTGCCGACCGACGACTTTGGCCTAGGACTGCCCGACTACTCAAGCTTTAATTGCGCATGAGCCTCTTCCTTACTAACTACCCGGCAACATTCGCATCGTCGTTTCTGGCACATCCCTTTTGGGGTTCGGAGACCCTGTCGTCCGTTGCAAACAAACAAATAAGTTTATGCTACGGTTCTGGATCCCTGGAGATCTGCCATCATACCCAGATGTGGCGATGCTTGGATGTTTCGCCAATCGCATTCCAGCTGCTAGGATTCGATTTCGTCCTTGAAAAGACTGGTGCTGATGACGAGATTTGTGACAACGTGACGAGATGGACTGGCCGGTCTATCGAACGCGGAACTTACCTTCGCACGAAGCCGCGGACCTGCGTCGTGGGTGTCCCCTATTCTCGTTTCGAGTCGATTCCCAGCGGCGTCTCCACAGCGAAGAAGCCTATTCCATGCGTCCAGACAGTCGAAGTGGAGTCATAGTCACAGTGGCTCTTCGCTGTCGTGACTCGGCCTGGCAACGCCAACGCCAGCTTGCCTGACAGGCTGGAGCCGCACTTGCCGGTTCGGTACTTGTCGACAAGAAGACGACTACTCAGTATGTTTCAATGAGCCCACTTCATGTGCAAAGCTCTGCGCGCAATGTTCTTGTTCACCGCCAGTGCTCGATGCGGCCAACCTGACATCCATTACCTAACGACGAGGAGCTACTCAACGGAATATGCTCTTACCGCCCAAGGCAGTGCAGAGGTCTGACAACCAGCCTCGCACACCAGCATCTTGCAGTTAGAGCGCGCGAAGATCCCAATCGAACACCGCACTAGTCCAGGAAGACACCGATCCCCTCATCACTGCTGTAGCCAAAGTCACGGAATCCCAGGTACCTGAACTATTGATTTGTATAGGCTTTGTTACCGGTGTGTGCTGTCAAACTTTGAGATTATCCTACGGGTATCGAAACACTAACTGCTCCATCAACGCCATCGCAAACCCAAAACAATCCAACAAAATCATCGTCTTCCATCGCACTGTATCCGTCCTATACCTCGCCATCAATGACGACACCCAGTTTAGTGGTGTCGCACTGATTGGTATAGTCTCCATCTCTTTCTTTCTACTCAATGTCCTTGCCCCCTTCCACGGGCCAAGGACCTAGAGCCTTGTAAAATCTATCGGCGCGCATACTTGCTGCTCCCCATGCCACTAGAAACAAAGTCTGATGTCTCTGCCTTCTTCGCTGACCCGGTATTCTGCCAGCCGTGCTCGATCACGGGGGTGCGTCTGGAAGGTGTGGTGACGGGAGTCTTCGGTCCCGGTGTGCTCGAGCCGGGAACATCATGCATGCTGGGGGCGCCCCTTTTGCAGACCTAGAACGCATGTATGTTAGCGATGCACTGAATAGATGTTGTTTAGGATAATGTTACCTTGACATGAGAGCCGTGGAACCATTGCCCGTGTGCTTTGTCGAATTCACGCTCGCAGTGCCAGCACGTAATTGACTCTGCCTTCGGCTTTGTCTGCTTCGGCTGCTGGTAGCCAGTCAAACCCAGCTTACCCAGAAGGCTTTTCTTCTTCTCGGGGGTCCATTTCGCGAAGTCATCGCACCCGTCGAGATGGTCGCGGCAGGCATCCTGGCTATCCGTCACCAAGAAACGATACTTGCAGGCACATGTATCTTTCGGGGGCTTCTCTGGGGTCGCCTTCGCTGGGGCGGGCGCGATTGTAGGCGCCTTGGTGGGTTGGACCACCTGCTCCTCAAGCCGGTCAAAAGTGTCATCAATGGCCTTAGCCAGCTCTTTGACGTCGGGATGAGCCTCCACAAGTGCAGGAACAAACTTCTTCAAGAACTCCCACTGGTGATCGAACGTTCCTTCCAGCTCATACCGTCCACGACGTATCTTCATCGCAGTCTCAAGGTCACCCAGGTGCTCCGCAGGCCTGACTATCAATTAATTAGTAGGGGTATTTTGGTAAAGAATATTCTGAGCTTACATTCAGAGTCGCGTCGCATTCTGGCCCTTATCTCTGGAAGGCGATCGTTCAAAGGCTTGCCCAACCTCTTCAGGACGGATGGCAGGCACATGTTGACGTTTTCGATGATGCCGTAGACTGCATTCCACTCATTTGTCATGGAAAGAATTGTCTCTTGCTGTGAATCGACAAGGACTTTCAGACCATCGGTTGAGGATGGTTGCTTGTTGAGCTTGGCCATGTCGAGGTCTTTACGCAGTGCTTCAAGCTCCTCATCTTTGCGGGCTATGACAGCGGTGTGTTGGGTGTGGAGTGAGCCAATCTCTGATTCCTTGCCAGAGATGGCAGTGGCGTGCTCGGTGTGGATTGAGCCAATCTCTGATTCCTTGCCAGAGATGGCGATGGCGTAGTCGTCGTGGGCTTTCTTGAGCTCTGCATCCTTGCGAGCGATAGTAGCGGCGTGCTCGGTGTGAAGTGAGCCAATCTCTGATTCCTTGCCAGAGATGGCAGCGACGTGTTTGGTGTTGAGTGTGCCAATCTCTGATTCCTTGCCAGAGATGGCGATGGCGAGTTCGTAGTGTGCTTCCTGCAGCTCTGCGTTCTTGAGATTGATCGCGGTAGCAAGTTCGGCCTGTGAAATTTCCAGCTTCTCAGCTTCATCGGCCTTTTGGTCCCTAGCCAGATCGAGCTCTTTGCGCAGCTCCTGTATTTGGCTTTCATGGCGAGATACGATGTCGTCAAACTCCTTCTCCTTGTCGGCCACGTCAGCGATGTGCTTGGTGCGAGAATCTTCCAGCTCCTGGGCTTTGGCGTTCTTTTGCCGAGTGACCAAATCGAGCTGTTGACGAAGCTCACGCATTGCGTCATCATGGCTAGATACAAGAGCGTCAAGCTCTTTGACTTTGTTGTCCTTTTGAAGCTTAACCGAATCGACCTCTTCACGAAGCTTTTGCGTTTCGATTCCATGGCGAGTGATGATCGCAGCTTCAGACTGGTGTTTGGCTTCGAGCTGCCTATCTTTAGCGGTGATGGCGACAGCATGTTCGGCGCGTAATCTTTCGAGCTCCGCATCTTTGGCGTTGATTGTAGCAGCGAGATCGTTGCGCAAGCCTTCATCCTTCTTCTCTTTGGTTGAGAGAGCGACTTGATACTTCCTACGATGCTCCTGCATCTCCTTGCTCTTACGAGAAATAGCGTCCCTGTTTAGCTGTTTGAGTTCTCTCAGGTCCTTCTCCTTGTTGGAGACGACATCTGCGTGTTGCTCTTTGAGAGCCGAGATTTCATCTTTGAGCTGGCGAGCGAGCTCGTGGGCAGCGTCCAGATCGTGAGTCTTCTTCTCGAGACCATCTTCACCGTTCAACTGCTCTTTGGCTGTATTCAACTTCGTCTGAAGTTGATGGCGCTCAGTCTCAAGGTCTGCACGCTCGCGTTCCAGACCACTCATCTGACCTTTGACATCCTGAAGCTCTTCCTCGATAGCGTCGGCTCGCTCGTTCGCCTCTTGTGTGGACTGACGCATAAGCTGGATCTGGTCCTCGAGTCTCGCCACTCTTCCGGAACTGGTGGTGTGGTTGACATCAGCCCGTCGCAGCTCAATCTTACATCGGCGTAGTGACTCCTCGATTTTCAACTTGTTGGCGGTCACCTTTTGCAGTAGCACCTTCGATCGTTGACAGTCATCGGTCAAGTCAGCTGCGTTGGTTAAAGCCGTGTCGAGTTCCGCATCCTTGTGGCGAAGCTCTTCAAACATGTCGTTGTTCTCGTCCTCAAGTGCACCGATCCGGGTGTCCTTCTTTCTACTGGCTCGTCTAACAGAAGAATGAACATGTTTCAGCTTGTCGATGTTGTTGGCGTGATGTGTGATGTGTGTGGAGGGTGCGGCGAGGTCAGTGAAGAGAGATGTGATCACGTTATCCAGTGCAGTAACCGATGGCGAGAGCTTGTTGTTCTTGAACGCGAGCTGGACCTGTTCTAGTTGTTCTTGATCCAGGCGGTTCTCGACCTTGCGTAGGCGTCGACTAAACGAGTTCCGGGTGATGACATGGAGATGCTTTCGCGGCATGTTG